CCCCAAAACCCCAAAACCCCAAAACCCCAATTTTACGATAAAAATAATAAAATTAATCCCATACAAAAATGAAGGACTACTCTTTTTACAGCGATGAATCCAGTTTTAAGATTCATACATCAGAAAATGTTAGCAGCAAGCCTTTTTCTCTTCTTAAAGAACCCCCTAAGGAGCTTCAACCAATAGTAGACGCAGTTATTGGCATAAGAGCTCTATTATAGATGATCTAGAGGAGTTTATCCGAGGTGAAGAAGAATTAGGGTTGGATATGGAAGACAAAGTGTCTAAGTTTAAACTATTTAAATAAAACTATTGATGATAGTTGTACTGAAGTGGTCATTAAGATAAAAGCTTGACTTCCATTTCATGAATGAAATAAAGTGCTGAGCAAAGTTATTACGAATTTGGAAGGAGATTATTATTTTCAAAAAATTAGCTCAAAAATGTTGCTGAATAAATATATGAGCAAAGAATTAGGTAAAGTAAAGGATCTTGTTGAAACTATTAAGGAGAAGAATAACAAAATTCATGAACTCGAGGGAAAATTTAACCTGATTTATGACCAATTTTATGATGTTGATGAACAAAATTTCAGACAAAAGATTTTTGAGGTGAAAAAGTTATTTAAAGAGGAAGAAAAACTATTTCCTTATTCTCAGGAAAACTCTTCTTTCAAATATACTATTGAAACCGAAAAAATTAGCTTTTCCTTTGAGTGGGACTTTGAAGAGCATTTTCCAGTGCTATTTGAAAAATCAAAGGATGAAATCTGTAGCAAATCAATAAAGTTAGAAAAGCATTCAAATTTAGAAGAACAATCAAATAAAAGTCTAATTAATGTAAGCTTTTAACTCAAAATGAACATATTTTTGTTGAATTTGTAAAACATTTCTCCCAACTTCAAAACTTCATCCAACTATTCAAACCATGTAGTTTGTCTTGACTAATTCTCTGATGTTATTGTTAGTATCAAGCTCAGTATCTAAATGAATAGAATGAAACATCTTCTGCAATCAAGATAAATTAATTCTGATTGTTGCATTTTACTTAGGAAGTTTTATTATCTATCCAAAGCTGTCATAATTTTCTAGAATGCTTTACATTTTATTATACAGAGCAAAGTGATGTCTCTTTGAAATTTCTCAAATTTGTATAAGTTTGTTTGAATAAATAAACAAACAAAAGTTAGTGTAATGTTACTTCTCATGACAAAAGCTAGATATACAGGTCACAATATTTTCAAGCATTTAATGCTAAATCTGTTTGAAATTTTTACAAATATTCCAAAATTTTCCTCAGAACATTGTTGACATTGGTTAATTCTTGCCAAGGCAAAATTTTTACTATTCTAACTATCTTCTACAGGCAAACTACTATCAATCTGAGAATGACAAACTTGCTTTATTCTCTGAGAATGAACAAGAAAACTTGACACAAACATTGCCATATATCCCACATCTTTCTCATCTAAGCAAAGAAAGTGAAAGTCTAAATGAACATAAATACTATTTAGAATTTTCTAGTGATGAAGAAGACTTAATATTTAATTCTTAAATACAGTGCTAAAATGTTTTTTATGATAATTCAAGCTATTGAATGCACTTCGGGGTTTTGGGGTTTTGGGGTTTTGGGGTTTTGGGG